GAAACGATTTGAGTTAGATAAGTGGTAATTGTTCTCATTTAATACCTGAGTTAAGGAGTTCAAAAAACTAATAACGGTAATAGGAATAGAACCCAGATATTATACTATTAAACCAGAATTCTTAAGGTAAAAAAATACGCATCAGCACCTTAATGTTCGTTAAGAACCAATTGAGATTAAGGTAAATATTCATTCAATAAAGTGTTTGTTTTATTGTACCAATGGTCTTTCTTTTCATAAAATTCAATTTATTTTACATTATTCTTTTCTCTTCTTTAAAATTGATCTAAAATCTACTTGTTGAGCTTCACCAGCACTATTAGCAGTAACAGCAGCACCACTTGTTGGAGTAGAAGGTGTTGATGATACAGATGATGGTGGTGTTGTTGTTGTTACTGGTGTTGTAGTTGTGGTTGATTTAACAGGTGGTGGTGTTGTTGTTGTTACTGGTGTAGTAGTAGAAGTTGGAGTAGTAGTATTTGATGTTTTGTTTTTGAGTTGAGATCTAAAATCAACTTGTTGAACTCCTCCACCACCAGTAGTAGCAGTAGTAGTAGATGGAGGTGGATTGGATGGTTTTGATGGTGGAATTTCATTCTTTTTATCTTGTACAACTTGAACAGATGGTGGTGAAGTATTTGATTGATCTTCTGTCTTTTTCTTTAAATTTGATCTAAAATCAACTTGTGTACCACTTCCTGTATTATTATTAGTATTAGGTGAAGTAGTAGTTCTAGTTGTTGTTGATGGTGGTGGAGTAATAGTATTATTATTATTACTCTTAGTAGTATCAATTGAAGATGGTTGAGTGGTAGAAGAAGAAGATGGTTGATCTTTCTTTTTTAAATTAGATCTAAAATCAATTTGACCACTTGAAGGAGTATTAACACTATTACTTGTATTACTTGTATTAGTATTAATAGTATTAATAGTATTTGGTGAAGTAGCAGAAGTATTTAAATTACTTGTAGATTCCTTCTTTTTCAATGCAGATCTAAAATCAACTTGTTGAACACTTCCTCCTCCAACTGATGATGATGATGTATTATCATTTGATTGAGTATCATCTTGTTGAGTTTTCTTTAATCTCATTTCAGATAATACTGATTGTGAAATTGCAACACTTAATCTTCTATTAGCATCATTTGTTACTGACACTGATGATGGTGATGTTATTGCTGTTTGATTATCTTGTTCATCATCATCTTCTGGTGGTGGAGGTGGAGGTGGTGTTGTCTTTTTCAATCCTCTATTATTACTATCATTCATATCAGTAGTAGTAGCAGCAGTAGATGATGATGATGGAGGTGGAGGTGGTGTCTTTTTAGGTTTTGATTCTAATATAGATGGATTAATAGGTGGTGGTGGATTGGATGGTTTAGATGGAAGTGAATTATCATCTTCTTCTGGTGGTGGAGGTGGAGGAGCTGTTGTCTTTTTCAATCCTGATGGAATAGGTGGTCTATTATTTGTATTATTTGTATTATTTGTAGTAGTAGTAACATTTTCTTCTTCATCTTCTGGTGGTGGTGGAGGTGGTTGTTTACCTATAGTTGATTGTTCTTCATTGATTGGTGGTGGAGGTGGTTTAGTTTGAGGTTTGTTATTATTATTATTATTATTACTTGGAATTGGTGGTGCTACAGCTCTCTTTGGTTGTTGTGGTGGTGGTGGTTCAGTATTAACTTGTGGTGAATTTTCAATCCTACTACTAACAATTGGTGAACTAGTAGTACTACTACTACTATTAGAATTGGATGTTGTTGTGGTTGGTGGTTTCTTACCTGGAATTGGTGGTGCAACAGGTGGTGTAAATTTACTAGTATTATTACCTCCTGTACGTGGACTTGTATCCACTACTCCACTACTAACATTACTTGTTGAAGTATATTGATCAATATTTTCATCCTTTTTCAATTGATTTTCACTATTCTTCTTTTTTAATATACCACCTGCTATTCCCATCATTGGTACACCTCCCATAATTGGAATTGGTCCAGTAATAATTGGAATATAAGTAGATGTTGGTTTACTACTATTCTTATTATCTCTAGGTGATGATTTACCTGTTGTTGTACTTGTATTATTATTTGTATTACTTGTAGTAGTATTATTATTATTTGTAGTAGTATTATTTGTAATAATAATTGGAATATTATTAAGTGAAGTTTCTTGAGCATCTTGTTCAACTCTTGCCAATTCTTTTTTAACTTCATTTTTACTTGTTGCAGTTGGTTTTGATCTATTTTGAACTCTTTTAGTTTTCTTTACAATTAAATTATCAACTGCATGTGGTGGTGTTGTACCAAGTCCACCAAATCTATCAAAATCTAATGAAACTGATTTGGCTTTTTGCATTCTATTTTGATCATCTGTTAAATGTCTATTATTTCTACTTGTATTACTTGTACTTGTATTTGTACTTGTATTATTAACAGATAATAAATTATTATTACTACTATTATTATTGGAAGATAATGTAGTATTATTATTGGATGAAGTACTATCATTAATTTTTGGTTTAGTTTGAGGTTTAGGAGGTCTAACCATTCCATTACCACCAATACCACTTGGTATATTTTCAGATTCAGTTGTTGATGGTTGAACAATTGGTTGAATAATTGGTTGTTGTTGTTGTGGTTGAATGAATTGAGGTGGTTGAGGTTTTTGAGGTTTGTTTTGTGGAATAATAGGTGGTGGTGGTGATGATGATAATGATGTATTATTAGTAATGTCAATTTCATTGGTTCTTTTTGGTTTGTTTGAAGGTGGAAGTGGTGGTAATACATAATTATTATTAACTGATGATTTAATAGTTAAATCAGTTGATGTTGGATCATATGAATCGGATGAAACAGTTGATAATCTAAAATCATCTCTACCTGCTGTAAATACTGCCATTCCAAAATCTTCTTTATCTAATACTAAATCTGATTCACTCTCTTCTGATTCAAGTGTTCTTCTTCTTTCATTATTATTAATTGTATTAATAGTATTATTATTATTATTGATATTATTATTGATATTATTATTTGTAATAGATTCTAATTGTTGTTCTGATTGTTGTTGAATATCATTATAAAGAGGATTTAAAGTGGTATTATCATTTGTAATAGTATCAATATTATTTGTATTATTATTTATAATAGTAGATTGTTCTAATAAAGACCATAAATTTAAAATATTATTATTTAAATTATTACCATCATTATAATAATTAATAAAATCTAATAATAAAGAATTTAAAATTAAATTAATTGAAAATGTTTTTAAAATATATAAAATTCTACTTTTTCTATTATTAATATATTGTAATAAAATATTTAAATTTGGTATTTTAAATACAATAGTATATACTCTTGAATATAATTGATCATATATTTTATCTAATAATCTAATAGTTGATTCTTCTTGTTGTAATAATTGTAAATTTTGTAATCCAAATTGATCAAAATAAGTACCAATAATACGTGTAAATGAAAATAAATAAATATTAAATAATTCATTTTCATTATTATTATTATTATTAAATATTTCATCATTCCAAATTAATTCAATCTTTTCATTTAAATATAATCCACTATCAATTTTAGCCCATTTTAAATTACTTGTTATATCATTATCATTGGTTGTTAAATTATTTGTTAAATTATTATCAGATGATGAAGATGATACTTGATGAACAAGTCTATGAGCATTTGTATCTTTTCTTGCTGGTTTAACATTTGTCATCATGGATGGTTGAAAACTAGCCCTTGATCTTGCTTCAGAATTTTGAAGACTAGCAAAACTTTTACCTAAAGTAAATTGTGGAGAACTTGATAAATTATTTTGATTGGTGTTAATGTTGTTGGTGTTGTTGGTGTTAATGGTATTGATTTGTATGTTATCAGTAAAAGTACCAGGTGGTGGAAGTGGTGGAGGTGGTTTATTACCCAATTGTTTACCACCACTATTATTATTATAGGAATTAGGTGATGATGAATTATTATCCATTTGATTATTAATTTGAATAGGTTTTGAATAACTTGTTGTTGCTCTATCTACGTTAAATGATGATGATTGATAATCTTCAATATTTTGATCATCCTCTTCTTCGTCTCTTGAATGACCTGATGCTGTTGAATTTAATCCAAAAAGCTTTGACATTCAACGTATTGTTTTTTTTAATGTAATGACAGATTGACATTTACATTGTCAATACATCAAGTCATCATAAAATATCTATTAATTAATACTCTCCGTTTATTAAATGTAATATTGTTGAACATTTAAATCAGATTATGATTCAACACCAAACTATTTAAGAGTCCGTTTAAATTGATTTATTCATCATCACAAATCATACACGGAATAATGTGATCAGAAGAAATATTGTAATAATTTATTTAATAAAGGATGACTTTTTTGATACAATTAATTGTCTTGCTTGTTCAACATTTGATCTTTGAATTGAATCTTGAAGGAAGAAACTTTGATCTGTATTAAAACTTTCATATTTGGAATTTAATTTTAATGTTGTTTCCTCTCCAAATATTTGTACAAGTAAATCAAATGGATTTGTTATTACAGTTGTATTATTAAATATATTATGTCTTTTAAAATCTTCAAATGTCCACAATAGTCTCTTTTTTAAAAATTAATTAAAAATATAAAAATTAAATTAAAATTATTAAATATAAAAATTATAAAAATTAATAAATTACCCTTAACAATTGTGTCATTTCTTTTGATGTATCAACACAATAATGTGTATCACCATATTTTTCTTTAATAATTAAAATACTTTCTATTAAAGTTAATATAATATTACTTTCAAACATTATTTTACAAATATTAACATGTTCAATTGCATTTTCTAAAATTAAATTCATAATTGAACATGCTCCAAATATTAAATTTAAAAAATTCTTTGAATAATTAATTTCTTCTTTTGAATTATTTAAATAATTTGAATTTTTAAAAAATTGTTTTAAAATAGTTTTAAATCTTCTCTTTCCTAAAACAATTACAATCATTGATAATCCTTGTATTGATCTATGTATTAACATTTCTGAAAATATTTCATTTTCATCTGGATATTGCATTGCTATTTTAACCATTTCAACACTTTCTCTTACTACTCTAATATCTTCATCTGATAAATTCATAAATATTATATCTAATACTCTTGTTTCTCTCATTTGTTCAATTTTAATAGATTTGGATATTTCTTTTATCATTGAATATATTAATAATATTGATTGTGTTGATAATTCAATTGAATTTGCATTGTCATTTGTATTTGTATTATTTGTATTATTTGTATTTGTATTATTACTATTGTTCATATTATTATTTGTATTTGAAGGATCGAATGATTTTCTAAATTCTTCAGCTGATGCTAATTGATTTCTAGCAGTTTCAACAACATTAAGGAATGTAAATTTTGTGAATGGAAGTGATTGTTGTTTTGGAGTGGCTTCATTTTTAGGTGTTGTTAAACCTGGTTGAAATGAAATTGAAGAGGAGGGTGATTGAATTACATTTTTAGAAGTTGCAGTAGTTGAATTAGTAGTGGTATTAGTAATGTGTGCAACATTTGGTGTTCTTGGAGACATTAAAAAATTACCAAATACTCTAGGTGAATTAAATATTGAACGTGGTGATGAAAATGCATTCATTTCTTGTTGTTGAGTTTGTTGTTGCTGTTGTGAATTATTATCTAATAAATTAATAGTTGAATTTCTTCTTGGAGTATTATTTGAACTTAAATGTGCACTTATGGTTTTCCAATTATTTGGAGATGAATGATTTCTAAATATATCAAATAATAATTCTAAAATATCATTTGAATGTTTTGGATTTCCTTGATAAATTGAAACAATAAAATTCTTTGCAATTAAATTAATATCTATAGATGGAATATAAATGATTGAATTTCTTAATAAATCTAAACCATTATCAAAACAAATAACTTCTTTATATTTTCTACCATTATTAGCAATATTTGTTAAAAGTAATAAAGCTTCTTTTTTATCTTCATTTTCATTCTTATAATAATGAAATCCAAGAACTTCTAATAAAATTTGAGTTCCACCAATTTCAATAAATTCAAGTAATGGTTTATAACCTTGAATAAATAATCCAATACATTTAATTTGTATTGCTAAATCTTTCATATGTAAATAATTTAATTGAAAATATCCAAGTATTCTATTATATATTAATAATAAATCACTTTTTAATTTTAATTCCAAATCTTTATATGGTAAATTAATAAAATGATCATATAATTCAAATAATTGTTTCATTCTTGTTACATGTTGTGGTGTTGTATCCCAATTTCTAACAAAATATTTTGATGAAAATATTGTATTCTCTGTCATCATTGTTGTCATTGTATTATTTACTTTTTTAGATTTGGATATTAATATAGTAGGTGTTGATGTTCCAGAAGTATTTGAATTTACATTATTACTCATGTTATTTATTAATTATTATTATTATATGAATTATTTGAATTATTCATTGTATTATTCATATTCATAGAATGAGGATGATGAGGTGGAGGTGAATGTTTATCTAATAATTGATGATTATTTAATTGAGTTGGAGTTGAGAGTGATGAAGATCTTTTTGCTCTTGAAGTTGCATTTGATGTTGGTTTTGAATATATTGAACTTGATTTCATAAATGACATTGGTGTTGATGATTGAGAATTATGCTTATTATTATTAGCAAGTACAATTAATTTGTTATTTGGACTTGTTGTATTTGATGATGAAGAAGATGATTGAGGATATAAATGATTGGGTGATAATCTACTATTAAAATGTAAATCTTGAGGATTTAATCTTATATGCTTAAAAGAAGAATTTGAAATTGGTGCGGATAATAATTGATTAAGAATATCTCCTTTAGTACTTGTAGTAGGTGAACCAGCGCCATCATCATCATCCGATTGTATTTCTTCTTCCTCAACTATGGTTTCTTCTTCTTCTTCCTTATATTCATCCCCACATGTACTTGCATTACAACTTTCAATGATACTATTTTCATCAACATTTAAATAAGTATTGTCATTGCGGTCTAGATTATTAAATTCTTCCTCCTCTCTTTCATTATCATCATTTTCTGATATAAGTTTTAATGTAGGACTAGATGCAATTGACATTAGAGGACTATTATCAATGAAATTATCAACATCCATTCTTCTATGAATTGTTGTTCAAGAAGGTAAGTTGTTGTTGTTGGCTAAATTATTGTTACAAAGTTGTTGAGGGTATTTTTTTAAAGAAAGGCTTTGAAAATTTACGATATGGAATAAGGGTGTTGTTTCAAGTGTTTCAGAAAAGTGTTTTCTTTTTGAAAAAACTAGTTAATAGAAAGTATTTATTCATTATTATTAGTATTATTAAAATTTAATTGAATTGAATATTGATTTGTGGTGGTGAATGGACTAGCATAAACACCAAATAAAACACCATTTCCAAATCTTCTATAAGAATATAAAGTTCTTAAAGGTTCTTCTTCTTGTATTAAAGTATTTGGATTTATACAAATCATTGTACAACGTGAACATTGTGAATTAATTTGAAAGGGAATATTATTAATATAAATAGATTTAATTTCATCTTCTTCATATTCTTCTAATCCTTCAATTACTATATTTGGTCTCATTCTATCTATTAACCATTCTATATTTGTTATATCATTCAATCCTAATCTTTTATTTAAATCTATTAATGATGATTTATTTAATACTAAAAATAATCCCTTATTACCTTCATTTGAATATGATGATTGATTTTTACAATTATTTAAATTATTTAATTCAATATTTTTAGAATTATTTGAATTATTTAAATTATTATTAATATTAATATTATTATTATTAAAAGGTTTTCTTCTTATAACTTTAACTGAAATTCCTAAAAAATTAGAAAGTTTTTCATTAACATCATTTCCATAAACAAGTGAATCATGTTCTCTTCCACATATTTTATTTTCAAGTGATTGTATTGGATATTCATCTATTTTAAATTCAATAGTTTCATAATTATTATTATCATTATCATTTAATTTTAAAATTACAATTCTATTATTCATATCTATAATTGGAAATATTTTAGCTAGTTTTGTACATTTTTTTAAATTTAAAATTGAATCATTTTCATCTAAAATAGCCCATTCTCTATCTAAATATGCTCCACTATTAGAAATTAATTCCCATGTTTTAATTATATTATTATTATTTAAATCATTTAAATTATTTAAATTATTATTATTAAAAATTTTAAAAGGAGCACAACTTTTAAAAGGATAAATATAAAAATGAGATAATTTAATATTATCAGATTTTAAATTATAATTAATTTTTTTAAAATTATTATCAATTAAATTTAATTTAATAAAATGAATAAATTTATCAATATCATTTTTAATAGAAGAATAACCAAAAGATATTCTAACACTACCAGTTGGTATATTTTTAGAACCAGGTATAATATCCATTGAATTATTCCAACATATTTTACCATTTTCAAAATTATTAATTAAATCAATGAATTTTAAATTAAAAAGTTCTTGACATGAACCAGGTACACAAAAACATCCACTTCTAATATTAAATTTATTTAATGAACATAATTCTTGTATTTGTGAATATCCAATCATTAATTCTTTACTTGTATAAAAATTTAAATTAATTATACTTGATTTATTTTTTAAATTATAAATTTTACATAATAATTTATTATTATAATGTTTTAATTTTAATAATTCATTTATACAATATTCTTGTAATATTTTTGTATGTTCTTCTATTATTTTAAATATTTCTCTAAAATTTAATAAATTATTTTCTATTTTATTTAAATTATTATTTATATTATTATTTAAATTATTATTATTATTATTTATATTATTATTATTATTTAAATTATTATTTAAATTATTATTATTATTATTAAAAATTAAAGAATACATTAATTGTACTTGTTTAAAATAATAAAACATTTCACATATAGTTATAAAAGGAATAGTACCAAATTCTAAAAAAGAATGAAATGAATCATTTCTATATTTCATAAAAAAAGGTTCAGTTGAAGTATTAACTTGAACATTTCCACCTGCAAAATAATTATTTCTTGGTTGAAAATTAATTTTTGAAATTCTAATTTTACGAATTAATAAAATTCCTAATCCAGTTGGATATCCAAACCATTTATATAAACTTGCTACTATAAAATCAGGTTTATATTTAGATAAATCAATTGATACATTTGTACTTGAATATTTTGATGTATCTAATATTGTATATATATTTGGATAATTTTTATAAATTTCATTAAATATTGAAAAATCTTCAATTTTACTACCTGTACTATTACATTCACCTGATATTCCAATTAAATGTTTATAACTTAAATTATTTGTATTATTTGAATTATCATTTAAATTATTATCATTTATATTATTATCATTTAAATAATTATTTTTTAAATAAAATTGGTAATCATTTAAATTATTCCAAACTAGACATTGTTTTGATGGAATTGATCTTAAACTTCCAATTAAAGAATTATGAGAATTATTTAAATAACCAACAATTGAATGATTTTCATTTGATGGAAAACAATCACTTATAATTTTCATAGAATGAGATGCATTAAATGTAAATACTAAATCATAATCTTTTAAACTTGTATTAAATATATTTAAAATTAATTCTCTTGCTTTTGTTATTATTAAATTTGTTTGTCTAGATGAATATGATCCATCACTATGTGGATTTGATAATATCATCATATTACTATGATCATACTTCATTGTATTATTATTATTATTATTATTATTAATTAATGTATCATCATTATCATTTGTTTCATTCGTTTCATCCTCATTATTATTATCATTATTATTAGGGAAAAATAATTGTTCAAAGGCTTTCTTTAAACATTTACTACTTGTTAATGTACTACCTGCATGATCTAAATGTACAATACTTTCATCATGATTAAAATAATCTCTTCTCATCCTTTCCATTTCTACATCATATGTTCTAGTAGTAGCAGTAGTAGTGGTAGTACTTGTTATTGATGATGAAGAAGAACCCAATGATTGTTCCTCTGTTTGAGATGTTGTTTGCTCCGAAATCATTTGAATTTTTTTATTTAATTTTAAATATCTATTAGTATAGGCGTATTTAATATGAGGGTTGAAATACATAATATTAAAAAATGAGACTCCTTAATAATCAACACACTTTCTAATAGGAATTAAGATTATTCTAGAGTTCTATGAATTCTGATTCTACTTTGAATTATTCCTTACCATTACAAAGTTTCTTGTCCTCCAATGACGACACCAACAGTTTAATGAAGCCTTCTAAATCGCAGTACTCGGAATCTTATTGTATCTCTTTAGAAGCACACAAAAAAAGATCAAAAAATGAATGCTCTCGTCTTTACATCGGAAGAACAAAAATTGATTGTTGAAGTAAAGAATAAGCTTACCATTGCTAATCTTTCTTCTAAATATCCAGATATTGCTGATCTTTTACCAAAATTAAATGATTTTATGCAAAGATCTGAAGTTAATGATGATGTTTTTTATGTTAGATGGTTGAGAGCCTACAGTGGAAATGTTGATAAGACTATCAGTGGTATTATTGAATTAATTAGATGGAGACAAAGAATGAATTTAGATCAATCAAAATTAACTAGATTTGTTGAATTATTTCCTAAACTTGAAGAATTTTTATGTTTTATGGGTTCTGATAAAGAAGGTTTGTTGATAATTCCTATTATTNCATATATTAACTATATAATAATATCATTCATTCTACTACTAATATTGGTGTTGGTTGTACTACTATTCC